ATATATATATATATATACATGTATGTGGTACTGAAACCCTAAAGAAACAGTGTATGTTATGACAACTGTTAGTAAAAAGTGGCATCTGAGTTGGTACACTGAGTCTTAAATGTATTCATGCACTGATTTACTTAATTATTTAATGAACCAACATTTATTGTCTATTACATGTCAGAGACAGAGTGAAACACTTAGAATATAAATATAATAATCTTTATTCTAAGACTAAGATCAGTAAAGAAACAGTGGAAAAATTAGTGACATAATCATGAAACAGTAAATAGATATGATAGGAGCTTAGAATTTATTGAAGGATACAGTGAAAAATGAAGTAAGAAATAGTTTGATGGCATAATCAAGAAATATCAATCTGTGATATTCAGATTAGGAATATAAATAGTTGAAGGCAGAAAATCCAATTAAGAAACTAATTCTGTAGTCCATATCACAGACAAGGAGTTCTTAACTGATTAGTGACAGTGGACACATAGAGAACAAAAGCAGCTCACAGAACCATAAAGATGGATAAGGAGCAGTTCATTACGATAAGTTTGGAGGTCTGGGTGACTGAGAACATGGTAAAGCCATTAAATGAGAGGAAGGGCCAGGAGTGGAAGAGAGAGAAAGGAGAGGAGAGGGGAAAGGAGAAGAGGAAGGGAGGCTTTGAGAGACACTTTGGGACATATTTGGTGGTGTCCAGGAAATGATAGCCATACAGCTAGCTTCTGAGGTCAGGAAAGAGGTCAATGCTGGAGAAGTTGTCTCAAAAGTTGTCTGCATAGAGGTTTCTGTTAATTTAGCAGAAAGGATGGCACAGTTAGAGAAGATGGTGAAGTTTGGAGAAAAACAGATCAGGATTAGACAAAGGAAGAGATTTTAGACAAGGAGAATAGAGACAATATAGAAAACTAGGGAGAAAAGTTGGATAGTATTCCAGAAGTCAAGGGAAAAGAGGAAAATCAATAAAGTTAAATGTTACGGTGTGGTCAAGTATTGATTAGATGTGCAATAAGGACACCACTGCAGACTACTCAATATAGTTTCAGCAACAACATTTGACAAACATTGATATAGTACAACTATGTGTCAGGCGCTGTTCTAGGTTTGTGGATATAGCCCATAAATAAGGAAGAAATAATGGCAACAAGTAAAGAATTACCTTTCAAGAGTTTTGGTAACAAACATAAAGGACAAAATATAATTATGTAGGAGAAATGAAGAGTTTAGAGGCCAAAAGTTTTTGTTTTTGCTTTGTAGTACTGGATGAGTGAGAGGATATTGTGAAAAGACAAAGTAAAATTGAGAAGTAAAAAGGAGAGAATGGGAATTCTTATATTTCTAGACCTGAAAGACCCAAACCCTGCACCATTGTAAGTTCAAAGGAAATGCCTCCAATATTTACAAGGGGTTGATATCCAAAAAATATAAAGCACTCCTACAGCTTAAAAGAAAAATCCAAGTACTTCAGTTTAAAAGTTGTCAAAGGATATGAACAGACTTTTCTCAAAAGAAGGCATAAAATAGCCAACAGGTATAGTTAAAAAAATTCTCAACATCACTAATAATCAGAGAAATGAAAATCAAAACCACAATGAGGTATTACCTCATACCTGCTGGAATGATTACACTAAAAAATGAAAGATAAATATTGACAAGGATATGGGGAAAATAGAACCTTTATACACTGTTGGTAGGACTATAAATTGGCAGAGACATAGCCTTGGGATGATAGCATATGCCTATAATCCCAGCTACTTGTGAGGCTGAGGAAGGAGGATCACAAATCCAATGCCTGCCTAAGCAACTCAGGAAGACCTTGTACTGAAATTAGAAAAGTTTAAAAAAAGGGAGGGGGTAGCTTAGTGGTAGAGCACTTGCCTAGCACAAACGAGGTCTTGGGTTCAATCGCTAGTGTCTGTCTCTCTGTGTATCTCTCTCTTTCTCTCACAAATTAGCACAGTCATTATGGAAAACTAATTTAAAATCTGAACTACCACATGATGCAGCAAACCCACTTTTGGCTATGTAGCCAAAAGAAATGAAATCAGTATCCTAAAGAGATAGTTGTACTTTAACGTTCACTATAGCATTATTCACAACAGTCAAAACACTGAAAGAATCCAAATGTTCAATGATAGATGAATGGACAAAGAAAATACCTATATTTAGGATAGAATTCTATTTTGCCTAAGAAAAAATCTTGCCATTTGTGAAAACATGCATTACCATGGAGGATGTGACACTAAGTGAAATAAGCTGGATACAAGAAAGACAAATACTGTTCTGATCTTACTTATGTGTGGAAACTAAAATAGTTTTAGAGAATAGAATCATGCTTGGCAGGGGCTGGGAGCAGGGGAAAACAGGGAGATAGATGATCGTCAAAAGGTATGAAGTTTCAGTTACCTAAGATGAGTAAGGTCTGAAGATCTAATGTACAGCAAGGTGACTATAGTTAATAATATTGTATTGTATACTTGAAATTTGCTAAGAGTTGCTCTTAAATATTTTTGAAAGAAAAAGAAAAAAAAGGAAAAAAAGAAACTATGTGAGGTAAGGAATATATTAGCTTATGGTGATCATTTTACAATGTACATTTATATCAAAGTTCAAGTAATATCTTTTAAATATGCAATTTTTATTCATCAATTATTCCTCAATAAAGCTGGACAAATTACATTTAAAAAGGAAGACCTCTTTATGACTCTTTTAAAACTAGCCAGAAGATTGCAGCTTTAGCTGTAATAGTTTAATTTTTAAAAAATATACGCATGTGATAAAATCTTTATTGTTGAAGTCTTAAATGCTAAGAATACACCCACATACTTATTACATCATTCTTTATGCACTAAAGTATATAGTTAAAAAATTTTAAATGTGAATTTATATATATATATAGATATATATATAACTATAGTTTCAAGAGAAATTAAATGGCCTCTAATGGAATATCACTAATGAGTAACGGACAGAAACACCTTCCATGTCTTCTATCTCTAACAAATGGGATTTTGTAGGTCTTAAAAAAAAAGTCCCACCAAAGGATACGAGGAAAAAAGCCCTACGGAGGTCATCCAGATACAGCTGTCGAAACTGAGTTATATCAGTATTGTAGGAGAACTGGATAGTGGTGAGCTGTGAGAGAAGAAGAAACATTATTAATTCACAGTAACAGTTGGCTTATGTCTACACTCAAAGGCAAACTTAAAAAGGCTGTTAACATGGCTGGAAATATATGCTGTGCTACCACAAAAAAATTAATGATAAATCTTTTTTTAATATCTTAGTTATGTTTTATTAAAATCTGCCAAAAGGAAAATATATGTTGAGTAACATACTAAGCACAGCAGTAGTGTTAGGACATGTGTAATAAAAATGAGAATTGAGTTTTTTCCTATCTGTCATGAACACTTCACTTTTAAATTCCTATGAAATTCTTCCCTTTCAAAAACTTGATTTCCCAGAAAGTATCCTGAGTTTCTTAAATTCAGGTATGGTATAATATTAAAAGATATGGTAAATTAATTCTATTTCTTTGTTCTGTTAATTCTATTTGCAGACAAATTTTATTTTTCATTAGCAAAGCAAAATACTTCTATCTTTTTTAATTTATTTTTTATTCTAAAGAGACTTGAAAAAAAAGAACAATAGCAAAATGCCAACAACATAGATAAAAACAAAGTGAAGCAAAAACAATAAGAATGATACAGGGCTTCAGAACAAAATAAGGATTAACAGTGTTTGTTATATCACAAATTTTTATCTTCATCAAAGTTGGTCAGATTACCAGATGTAAGAATGCATGATTAATTAAACCATTAAAGAGAATAAAAAATAAAAACAAAACAAAACAAAAAACGCAACACAAAATACTTCTATCTTTGATAGAATGGCTGTCAATTACAGCCAGAGACATATTCTTGCTTAATCTTCCTAATGACAAGAAAGAATGCTAATGGGTGAATTTAAAGGAAGACCCCCCCCCCCACTACCCCGCTCTCTGTGTAATTTTCCAATTAAGCTCTTGGGGTGCTTCAATGATATTTTCTAGAAAAAAAAAAAAAAAAAGATTTCAGTTTTTAAAATGTGACACAGTGACTGAGGTCTGATGAAATATATAATATTAAGGATAGTTTCTGAACATTTACATTAATCTGATCCAAACTGCTCTTTGAGTACTGTTTTAATACTCCAGTACTGAAAATTAAAAATCAGTAGCTATTCAATATACTTCCATATGGTTTCTTTTGTGTTAAAATTAGTTATTCTGAATTATCAGTTCCTTTCAATAGGCCTAACTGGAGGCAGTTAAGAATGGATCAACTATGGGGGGCTGGGGATTTAGCTCAGCAGCAAAAGCGCCTGCCTGGCAAGCGCAAGGTCATGAGTTCAGTTCCTGGTACCGGAGAAAAACCAAAAAAACAACAACAACAACAACAAAAAAAAGAATGGATCAACTATGAAAGTGTTTTTCTGCATTATTTATTCATTTACCTGGCCTCAGTACAATTGTAAATACTTATCACCAATTTCTCAATATCTTTAATTCTAAAAAAGACAAGATATATCAGTTTAACTCAGTATGATAAAGCTGTCTTTGCAATTTGGCTGGCTGGAGAGGGAAGGAGAAGGGAAGGGGACATAAAAATAATTAAGACGTGCTGTGCACATGTACCAACTCCCCATGATGAATGTAATCATTATGTATGCAAACATATACTAATAAAAATAAAAATTAACAGAAACTTTGGTTGGTTGTTAGCTAATTATAAACACTCCAGATTTGGCCTGAGGCCACAATCACTAAGATGACAGAATATAAGGTATGATCTAAAAATAGGGTGAGTTTCTTAAAAAAGAAACTTTTATTACAGCAAAAGACATCATCATCATCAATCCCTTTCAAAATACCAGCCCTCACTTTGAACACTTTGTTCCATTGTTCTTGCCACTTTCTGAAGCAGTTTTAGAAGTCCCTTTCATGAGTGTTTTTAGTTGTGCTATTGCTGCCTCAATTCAAAATGTTTACTTTTCATGGTCATTTTAATGTTGGAGAAGGCCCAGACGTCTCACGGTGCCAGAATGGGAGATTAAGGTAGATGAGGACACACCATAATGTTTTTACCTTTCCTTTGGATGGCATTCTTGGCAGCAGCACTCACTGTATGTATGAATGTGTATATGTATGTGTGTGTGTGTGTGCATATAATATATATATATATACACTTTTTTTTAAAAAAAATCACATCCTGTAAAGATACTTACAAAAGAGAATTTCCAGAACTACTTCAGAAAGTGGCAAGCACAAAGGGATAAGTGTGTTTGAAGTGAGGAGTACTCTGAGGGGGATTAATGACAGTATATCTTTTACTGTGATAAATCTTAAAAATGTAAACACTCATGGTATATTTTAATCACACCTTGTAAACACCCTTGGATTAGGGTAACCAGAAAAACCACAATGGGAATTTAAATGTCACTTTTATGTTCTTGAGACACCAATATTTTTCCAACTAAAAATGACAGAAGGAAAAACTGATGTGACAACAGAGGAAAATAAGATTAAGGACATTCTTTTCTCCTCCATTCATTCACCTATAGTGATGTTTTTTATATCAGTGATTCTCAAGTAATTACTAAGAAAAGCCCAACTATATATTGCCTGTAAAACTATAAGATCATACTTTTTTGTGATATGTAAGAATTTTACATACAAACTGGTTAACTTTTACTATATAGTGATGTTTTTTATATCAGTGATTCTCAAGTAATTACTAAGAAAAGCCCAACTATATATTGCCTGTAAAACTATAAGATCATACTTTTTTGTGATATGTAAGAATTTTACATACAAACTGGTTAACTTTTACTAATGTCAAATAAAATTTACTAAATGCTGAATTAAATTTTCTTTAAATGTTAAAATTTTAAGTAGAATTTTTGATGAAGTGATATTTCAACTTCCTTACAGTTCAGAAAATATTTTAGTACTTTCAAACACACCAATGACTTGAGAAGCTACCTTCTGTTTAGAGAAAATACCAGATTGTTGTAGAGTTTCTTGTTCCATGTATATCCAGATAAACATCAAACATGACAACACTAGTGGAAAGAGAGCTTCATACCTAAGAAGGGGACGTGGGTGAAGAGAGGATAGAAATGAAAAGAAAAAAACATTAAACAAATAACACATGAAAATATATTTGATCTTATCAGTAACTGACATGGAAATAAAAACATTACTAATACAATATTTACTTGTCATATTTATCAATATTAAAAATATCATGTTGATGCTCTAATACAGTACTTATCATATTGTTTTAATCACATGTTTACTTGTATATACTTACTATTATATTATAAAATCTTTGAAAACAGTTTGTCTAGTTATGATGACAGGTCCAGCTCAAAAAATTTTGGGACCAGTGTGAGGAGGGCAGGGTTGAGAGAGGGTCTAATTATGTAGTCCAGGTTGACCCTGAAGTTGTTAAATTCCCAAGTTGAACTCAAACTTGTTATTCACCTGTTTCAGCCTTCTGAGTACTGAGATTACAGGTGTCTGTTACCACTGCTGACTAAGCAGTATTTCTAAATGAGTTACTAACATAATTGAAAGTTACAAAATAAAACAAGACAAAATGAAACTTTACTTCTCTTTTAACTTTTTCAACTACTGAGCTCTTAGCCATTTGGCACTCTTTTCTAAACATGAGAAAACAAAAAGGCCAAGGGTTCAACCCCCAATATTGGGAAAAAACCCACAAAAGTTTACCATAATTATAAAATTAAGACACCAGAAACTGGGCAGAAATATCAGAGTCTGAGAAAGTATACACAAACTAGTTGGTATGTGAGATTTAGAATGCCCAAGAATGCAAACATACAAAACATAGATGAGAAAATATCTTTAGTAAACAAGAGAAAATATCATAAGTACAGAAATTGTACAAAAGAAGTATTATTTTCAGCCTATCAAAATAGTGTTTGATATTATTTGCAAGTGAAAATATCAAATATTGTTAAGGATATGACAAAATAGTACCCAAGTATTTTCCTGGCAATATTACAAAGTGACACAGTTTAAAAAAAAAAAGTTCATACCCAATGGCCCACCTAAACTATTCTGAGAAGTAAACAAAGAAAACATTTAAACTATATAAAAAGTTTATACTTAAAAAACTATAGTTCAAAATATTATTTATGATAACAAAATGAAGAAATAGAATGATTACAGAGAGAGGAATGGCTAAGTAAATCAATTCACAACCGGAAATATTAAGTATCTATTAAAACAGTGGCTAGGAAGTCTATGATCTACTTGGGAAAATGCTTCAAAAATAAGTTTTTTTACATAGAAAAAAGATCTGGTAATCTGAGCAACTTCATTGAAGATAACAATATATAATATAACAACTACTGTTAATTTCCTATCATCTTGTTTGAAAATTCTGTATTATTTTATTGTTTTTGTGTTGTCTTATTTTTGTCTTTGTTATTTTGTTATTGTTTTTTTTGCTTTAAAATAAAAAATATTGAAATATTTAGGACTCAATCTAACAAAAGAAGTAAAAGATCTATTCAGTAAAAACTACAGTACTCTGAAAAAAGAGATCAAAGAGGATTTCAGTAAATGGAAAAATATTCCTTGCTCATAGGATAGCAACATTGGAAGATAGGAAGAACCAACATTGTGAAAACGGCCATACTCCCAAAATTGTTGTACAGATTCAATGCAACTCCCATTAAAATACCATTAGCATACCTCACAGATCTAGAGAAAACATGCCTTAAGTTCATCCGGAACCAGAAGAGACCCAGAATAGCAAAAGCAATCCTGGGCAACAAAGACAAGTCAGGTGAAATTACAATCCCTGACCTGAAATTATACTACAAAGCTACTATAATAAAATCAACATGGTACTGTCTAAAAAACAGATCTGAGGATCAATGGAACAGACTGGAAGAAACAGCGACAACCACAAACACACTCAGCCACCTAATCTTTGACAAAGGGGCCAAACAAACTTACTGGAAGAAAGATACCTCTTCAATAAATGGTGCTGGAAAAATTGGCTTGCCACCTGCCAAAGACTGAAAATAGACCCATGTCTATCACCATGCACCAAACTCAAGTCAAAATGGATCACAGATCTCAATATTAAAACAGAAACACTAAATCTATTGGAACAGAAAGTAGGTAAAAACCTTGAAGACATAGGGGTAGGTAGAGAGTTCATGAACAAAAGCCAAACTGCAAGTGAAATACTTCAAAGAATCAACAACTGGGATCTCATCCTACTGAAAAGTTTCTGCACATCTAAAGAAATCATCAGCAAAGTAAAAAGAAAATCCAAAAATTGGGAAAAAAATTTAGCTGACTGTCCCTCAGACAAAGGTCTTCTATTTAGAACATATAAAGAATTAAAAAACATCAGCCCCCACAAATTCAAAGACCCAATCCAAAAATGGGTACCTGAGATGAATACACACTTCTCAGATAAAGAAATGCGAAGGGCATTGTATTGCTGATGTCTGATGGTATATTGAAATGAACAGGTAATGCTTACAATTTTTTATGTTCTAATCAATTTTGCATACTTATGTCTGGTAATCTGAGCAACTGATTTGAAGGTAACAATATGCAATGGAATTACAATGGTGAACTCCTACCATCTTGTCTAGAGAAACTCTGTATTATCGCTAATGTTTTATCTAAAATTTTCTTATTCTCTTTAATGGTTTGAGTAATCTTCCATTCTTCAATCTGGTAATCTGAGCAACATAGTTGAGGATAGCGATATGTGATGGAACAACCACTGTTAATTCATATTATTTTGTCTTGAGACCCTGCATCACTTTAAATATTCTTGCTCTGATTTGTTTATGTTTGTGATACTGGTATGCTGCTATTGTTCTAGTTTTTGTTTGTTTGTTTCTCATTTACTACTCTCTTTAAAATAAAAAAATAAATAAAAAAGAAATACAAATGGCAAATAAATACATGAGAAAATGTTCAACATCATTAGTCATTCGAGATATGCAAATTAAAACAACACTGAGATTTCATCTCACCCCAGTAAGAATGGCTAGCATTAAGAAATCAACCAATAACAAATGCTGGCAAGGCTGTGGAGAAATAGGAACTCTTCTTCACTGCTGGTGGGAATGCGGACTGATGAAGCCACTGTGGAAATCAGCTTAGAGATTCCTCAGCAGACTAGGTCTAAGGGTCCCATTCAGCCCAGCTATTCCCCTTCTGGGTATTTTCCCAGAAGATCTGAAAACATCATATCACAGCGATATATGTGCACCCATGTGCATAGCAGCATAATTTGTAATTGCTAAATTGTGGAAACAACCCAAATGTCCATCCACTGAGGTTGGATAAAAAAATTGTGGTACTTTTATATAATGGAATATTACTCAGCTATAAAGAAAGACAAATTTGAGGCTTTTATAGGTAAATGGTCACAACTAGAGACCATACTCATAAGTGAAATAAATCAGACCTGCATGTGTAAGCATCATATTGTCTCACTGGTATAAGACCTGAAAGAGTGAATAGAAATTAGTAGGTATGATAGACATTGTGAAATGAAAGGAAAACACTCAAAAGTAAAGAGCAACTGGGGTAAGGGAAAAGAGAAAAGAAAGAAGGGGAAATTATGTATGTATGTATGTATATACAGGATAGCTCACATAGTTGTACTACTGACTTCTATCGCTTTACTGAAAGGAACAGTTAATGATTACTTATTTGATCAATCTTGCATGTCTCTATTTGTTTTCCTGTGAAACCACTTTGAAGATATCAATATGTAATACAACAACCATTGTTAATTTCCTACCACTCTGTCTGTAATTCAGTATTGCTTGTATTGTTCTTATGCTATTTTGTAAATGGATGTCTGTTAATATGTTTTCCTTCTTTTATTTTTAAAATAAATTACAAATAAAATAAAATAAGATTTAAAAAAGACAAAATAGTATAAGTACTATTAGTTCTATGTTACAAAGACACATACTGAGTTAAGATCAGAAGAAAATATACCAGAGCATCAACAGGTAAATACAACAGTTTTGTTCCTCATCCTTACTTTCCAGAAAGAATTGAAAAACAAGATAGAACGCCTATTATGCTGGCCTTTGCTCAAAATTCACTTCAACTTCCACATGAGAACATGATGGCACTAAGCTACACAAACTCTAGTCATTCTTTATATCACATAATTCATAACTTAACTCACAATTCTTAATTGTTCCATTTTAATTATCTAACAATGCAAAACACAGTCCTCACTTTATAGAAGTTTATAATTCTACTTTATGCCTGCATTATAATATTAGTTCTCTTATATGTGTCATGTCCTTATGATGCTAGATATGTGAAAGAAAAAACAACTATAGGTTAAATCAGAAGATGCACTCTCTAAGCAAAAGAAGACCATGATTTTAAAAAATATTTAATTATATATGAATGTATTTTTTCCTAATTTATAAAAATACAAATTCCATAATTCTATAAATAGTGTTATAGACTTTTCTCCTTTCAAAAAACTATACAATTAATCAGTTCCTTTTGTAAAATATAGGTAAATAAATCAGATAGAGACAATATTCCCATGGGACTAGACAACATTTTACATAAAGTCTACAAATCTGAATTAATTAACCAAAATATCAATAAAATATCATGGGCTTGAAGGAACATAATGAAATCCTACTAAACAAGATCTGTTGGTTTGGTTTCTGTGTAAACTAAATAGGGCTCAAAAGGTATTTAGAAAGGCATCCTTTGCTAAGGGATAACATATACAAAATTTCAGAGGGAAATGTCTAGCTTAAGAGAATAAACTATTTTCAAGTATTATAATAGCTTCCATTTGCATAAAAATAATTAAATGTAGATTAAAGAGGAACCTTTATTCATTAAATCAGGATGTATTGTTAGAATTTAGAATTACTATTACTACATTTCTATAACAAAGCTGCATTTCTTTTAAATATCCTCTATTTCTGAATACTCACTAATTTATATAGACAAACTTTTAGATTATCCAAAACAGTGATGCTGAATCATAACAGGTGGATTATGTTTTGCAAAACTGATTTGACAATGAAAAAATGTACTAACAAATGATTAGACTGCACTCTTTCAATGTCTTTTTGTTTTTTTATAAAGCTAAATATAGGTTCAGATGTTGAATAATTTATCTCTGCATTCACTAATAAATTCATATTCAGTATTAATACTCTAATTTTAGGCATGAAGTTTTTCTTTTAGATTTTCTCAAAGTACATTGAACATACTTATGAAAATCAATTTTGGCATCTTTTATGACCATTATATTGATGATTTAAAACACTCTAAATACTCTAAAGTAAATTACATAATTAGTTTTATTTTACTCAAAATTGAACCATAATTATCACTCCTTTCTTTTTCCCTTGTTCATTTCTAATCCAGCAAACCATATCTACTTGGGTTTGTTATATTTTTTAATCTATTACACAGTCCTTTGAATCTGTTTATAATTTAAAGGGTCAAAAGAAAAGTGTTTATTCATTATTCAGTGACTGTGTATAAATTAGCAGATATTTCTGGACCTTGTCACTATGTAATCCAGGCTGGCCTTGAATTTGTAATCCTCCTGCCTCAGTCTCATAGGTGATGGGATTATAGGTGTGCACCTATATTATTCAGCAATGTTTATTACTGTCAAATAAAAAGAACTGATGTTCACAGCCTTCATTTCAAAGTTCAAAATCTCAAAGCAAGCCCACACAATCAGATAACCAGTAAAAAATTCCATCATGTGAATATTATATCTTCATGGCTGTGGTTCACATCTGGTTAGGCAGGCTGAAGGAAGGTGTGAGGAGCTCTGGTGTTAGAAGGTAGCTTAGTGCCTCAGTGGATCACTTCCTAGCTAAGGCCTATAAGAACTCCTGGGAGGGCTGGGGATTTAGCTCAGCGGCAAAGCGCCTGCCTGGCAAGCGCA